ATCAGCTGTGCTGCTGCCATCAACACCCTTGTTTATAGATGCTGGAGATTGGCCTGTTTTCCAGTGTAGTCCTGTTTCTCTGTGACTGGCTGGATGTGCTCTCTTCATCCTCTGACATGGGAGCTGGCTCGGAGCTCATCTGCCTGGCTGTGTGTTTCCTGGACGGGGCCACCTTTTACAGCTGCTTTTTTTTATCTCTGCTTCTGTCTCCTTGAACCCCAGTCACCTCGGCAGATGGCCGCTCACACTGAGCCTGGTTCTGCTGGAGGTTTCTTCCTGTTAAAAGGGAGTTTTTCCTCTCCACTGTCGCTACAAGCATGCTTAGTGTGAGGGATTGTATTCGAGTCAATGAGTCAATGCAATCAACTGGTTTTCCTTAGATAGAAAACTTTGAATCAATTTGACTGTATTATCTGATGAACTGTAAAGTGCCTTGAGATGACATGCGTTGTGAATTGGCACCATAGAAATAAACTGAATTGAAAATTGAATTGAACATGGAATAATGGTTGACATGAACATAATTGACTTAGGTTTGTAAAGTTAGTCAATACAACTAGCAGGAAGAACAGCATGGGTTTCAACACAGAGGAGAAAACAATGAGATGCGCAAACATTATAACTTAATTTGTCAGGAATTTCTGAGAAACTTAGAAGAATTTTCCCCAAATATAGAATAGCAGTGAATTTCAACCCAACAGCTCTCATACAGAAACTGGCATCCGTTTCATGAAGCAGGTTTAACAAACTCAGTTTTCAGTTTCACGACAGCTGCTCTGGATTGGCTTAATCAGTTTTAAGAAGATGCACTCAGTGTTTAATGTGTGTAAAATTTTAAGTTTAGTTAATAAAATGAAATTAATTTCCTTAACGATGTGATTGGACACATTTAGCATATGGAAATCAGTTTCATATGTTGCCAGGGCTTTTTGTCCCAGAGGTATACTGTTGCGCACTCTTTCTCTTGCCCATATATGGAAGACACTGTGACAGAGCACAGCTGGTTTTTTAGCGAGACAGGTAATCAGTATTTACATTTAAAAGCAGGTAGATCACTCAGGAGATCAGATCCCAGGATGATGATTCCCACTGAGGTATGTTTAACATTGAGCGTGAGGTGTGTTTAGAATTAATTATGACTCCTCCTTTTTATTATTGTTGATAACACATTTCTAGAGTGACGTATAGAGCGCCGTTGACTGTTTTCACCTTACAGAAGTTAAAGGGATAGTTCGGTATTTTTGACATGAATCTGTATGGCATCCCCATCACCAGCGGCATGCAATCACACTGACTTACCCCTGGCAGCGTCCTGTGAGCAGAGTTATTGTCCAGTTTTGGTCAAACAACAGCCATGTCTCCCTCCGCGGCGGAGGGAGACATG